GAGCACAGTACGACCGATCCATTGACATTGTGTATGAGAGAGTATTTTTTTTTAAATGGATTGTAAAGTTCAACGTCAAAGTGACGGAGGTTTTTTTTCAAGTAAGGGCATGGTTTTACATGGAATGTAAAGGAAATGTTTCCTTCTTCTCATATCTCGATTGAGGATATTATTCTCAATTTCGATTTTTAATGGTAAAGAAAAGTGTAAAAAGATGTCGAGAATTTTACCATATGTCATGTAATATAAAATGCGCGCGGGTCGGTTGATCTCCCAAAAGGAGCGCGAAGGAATTGATATGAAGGGTGTGTGTGGGCGTGTGTGTGTGCGTACGCGCGCGCGCGCGTGTGTGTGTGTGTGTGTGCGTGGAGGGGTTGATTTCACAGAATTTCGGACCCCCTCCCACACCCCCGCCCCAGCCAAAGAATACTGTATCAGCATGTACTGTTTCAAAATTAATATGCAAAACCTCATTGATGTGTGTGTATTGAGGCCGTGAGACTCAATAGTATCATTATGAGCAAAACGTCACATGTTATTTTCACATTAATGTCAATGTATTCTGCTTTTTGTGCTTTAATTGTGAAGAGTTATGTTGTAAAACTTGGTGCTATTAAACGTAATTAAAACTGATCATTTTCTCTCTCTTATAATCACCTTATCTTTCATCATACTCTCTCTTATGTATAGTTTGTTGAGAGCAAGAAGGGTGCATGTTAACTCTGTGTAAAAGTGTACGAGTTAACGCCCTTCTGGTTCCAAACAGAATTGACGTACTCTTTATCTACACACACACTCACTCTTTGTTCTGTCTTTCTGTCTCTCCCTCACTCCCTCTCTCCCTCTCTCTCTCTCTCTCTCTCTCTCCCTCTCACTCTCTCTCTCTCTCATTCTTTTTACACATCTTTCTAGATTTATTCACACCGTCTCTTCTCTCTCCCTCTCCTCCTCACTCTCTCTCTCTCTCTCTCTCTCTCTTTCTGTCTCTCCCTCACTCTCTAACTCTCTCTCACTCTTTTTGCACATTTTCTCTATTAACACACCGCCCCCCTCTCTCTCTCTCTCTCTCTCGCTAACACTCACTCCTTTTACACGTCTTTCTCTGTTAACACTGTCTCCTCTCTTTTTCTCCTTCTCTCTCTCTCTCTCTCTGCACTTATTTATTTAGTTATTGACCCCCTCTCTCTTTCTCTCTCTCTCTCTCCCTCTTGCTGTATCTCTGTCTCTCTTTCTCCCTCTCTCTCTCTCTCTCTCTCTCTCTCTCCTTTCTCCTCTCTCTCTCTCCCCCCCCCCTCTCTCTCTCTCTCTCTCTATCTCACTCTCACGCTCACTCTCACTATTTCACTATCTCTATCCCTCCCTTTCCCGCCTCTGGCTTTAGTTTTCCCTCTTGTGTGTCTGTGGATATTCCTTATTTTTTTCTCTAGCCCTTACTTTTGCCCCTTTTATTCTGATTTCGACCCTACCATGTTTCCTTGCTGTTCTGCCTCCTTTCAAGTACATGCATTCTGATTCCTCTTTTATCCCTATGTCCAGCTCGTTTACTTTTTACATGACTATACCCCGTCTCCCTCTGACCTCTCTCCTTCTCTTTATCTATCTACTGCCATATCTCTCTCCAGGCGCGTACGCAGGATTTTTTGAAGGGGGGGGGGGGGGGGGGGGGGTAATCGGACATTTGAAAATTTCGCAACGACTCAGCCAGCCATTGAATAAGCGGGGGGGGGGGGCGGTAAGAGGACACTTTTTTTGTTTTGGTCCCCCCCAAAAATCGCAACGACTCAGCCGTCCGCTGAATAAGCGGGGGTGAGGGGGGGGGGGTGAGGGGGGGGGGGGGGGGGTGGGGGTGGGGGGGGGGGGGGTAAGAGGACACTTTTTTTTTTTTTTTGTCTCGAAATTTGAAAAATTTGAAAATTGACATTTTGCTCAGTTGGAGGGGGGGGGGGTAAGGTCACCTTTTTTAGGTCAGCCAAGGGGGTTATGGGGGGGGGGGGTTTATACACATAAAAATACCAAAGGGGGTGTTTAACCCCCCCCCCCCCCCCCCCCCCACCCCTCCCCCCCCCCCCCCCCCCCCCCCCCCCCCCCCCCCCCCCCCCCCCCCCCCCCCCCCCCCCCCCCCCCCCCCCCCCCTCTACGTACGCGCCTGTCTCTCTCTCTCTCTCTCTCTCTTTCCATTTTTCTGTTAACGCCATAGATCCTTAAAAAAAAACAGGAAGACCTCCCGATTTGTCTTCAAGTGACGATTATTCTTATCTCGTGTTCTACCTCCTTTCGTCCCAAGTCTTCGTAGGCTTATATGTTTGATTTAGTTTTATTTTTAAGTTCAATATTGTGACACAAAATCATAATTATAGTACAAACAAACATTATAAATAATTGTTCATACAGTAACAATTTACTTGTAATCACATAAAGATCGAGATAAGAACAGGCCTACGCCCAATGGAAATTATGGTTTTACAGTTAACAGAATTCATGAACGCAAGAGATTGCCATCATGAATATTTTTATGCCAACAAATTGAAGACAATAACTGATGAATGTTTTCAATCGATTGGATATAGGCTCGACACAAATAAAACCCGATTTGACCGATTTCCCGCATAATAATGAAATCAAACTTTCGTGATATATATACTTAAAGGTAATACAAAATTTTGGTATGGGGTCATGAATTTGGTTCAAATGAATATATTGGAAGCATATGCTATCCTACAATATTTATTGATCGTTGTCGCGGTTGAAATCGGGTCTAAAGTTATGAGATTGTAAATAATAAACTCTTTATGTTGTATAGCTCCCTCTCAAGGTCAAGACATTAATTAAGCTATACAACAATGTTTCTTGACTAAACTCAACCGATTAGCTATTGATTGATTTTTATTCGACAAGCTTCCAACATACAACAATATACAATAATAACAGATCAAAAAAAGTCAGCTTGAACAGGATAACCCACGAAAGCTCGAGAGCTTATTTCCAGTGGGGTCCCTTACAGACATGTAACAAATTAATAAGTTAAAATAGTAATATTTACAGACAGATAAGAAAATTAAAAGAACTACTTATTAAAGATAATAATAATAACAACATTAAACTGATGATAGAAATGATATTAAGTACAAGAAGAAAAAGAAGAAGGAGAAGAAGAAAAAGAGGAGAAGGAAGAAGAGGAAAATAATGATGAATTTGTAGAATTTCTATAACGTACGAAAACATAAGTATATACAACATGAAAAAGTATGAACCGACAGAAGAATAAAAATTTCAATCATATAACATGTCATTCACTTCTCTTCTCTGACTGTCAAGTATTAGGTATTCCTTTAATTTCCTCTTAAAATGATCATAGTTTCCTATTTCTTTTACACCATTGGGAAGGGAATTCCAATGTTTTATGGCATTGTAATAAAACGAATTTCCAATACTACCTACTCTTTCAGGTAAGTTAAAGTTGAATCGTCTATTTCTTGTATTATAATCATGTACGTCAGTAACAAGATCGAAGTTGGATCGAATATAATGATTCGACCTAGTATGATATATTTTATGCACATGATGCAATACGAGTTGTTTTGATCTTTGGTCGACTTCAAGAAAACCAGCTTTAGAAAGTTCGCTGTAGCCAACATGAGTTCTTGGACCAGAACAGTTGATAAATCTCACCATTTTGTTCTGTATAATCTTCAACTTCTTTTGATCTGACTTGTTTATGTTACTATACCATGCAGGGTTAGCATAGTCAAATAAACATTGAATAAGAGCAAAACAGAGTGTACGTCTTGCTTTTAAATCCATACAACTTTGATATCTGTACAAAAATTTCAGACGAGAATTTGCTTTTTTTACAACTGATTCTACTAAAGATGAAAATGAAATTGCGCTAGCCAACTCAATGCCTAAATACTTCACAGACTCTTTTCTCTTGATTGCTTGATTATTGTGTGTCACTTTGAATTCAAATGACTTTTTAGAACTACTTTTAGAACAAAATAAAATGCTTTCTGTTTTTCCCAAGTGTAAAGAAAGCTTATTATCAGTCATCCAATCGACACACGTAGACAGCTGTTCACTGAGCTTTTCCTCAATATATTTAGGATCAGGATTTGAATAGAGTAGTACGCTGTCATCTGCGTACAATAATAGTTTGAAGTCTTTTATACAAATACACATATCATTTATATAACTTGAAAATAGAATTGGGCCTAAAATGCTTCCCTGAGGAACACCGCAAGTTATAGGCATTAGTTTGGAACAAATATCATGAATGGCCACTACTTGGTGCCGATTAGATAAGTAGGATCTAAACCAATTTAAACTTGCCTTATCAAAACCCGTTTGGAAATTATATATCACAACTAGAACAAATTCTGAAATTTTCATGGTCGCAGCTACCATTGTACGGCCGTAGGCGCTATTTGTAATTTATAAAAATTTACCGGGAACACCGGTAAATTTTTATATTCAATTTTTCTCGAAAGCAGTAGTGTTTTAGTGGCTACGTTTTCTAGTGCTTATAATACATCCACAGGGGCATCCAAATATTATATTAAAATTGTAAAGAATCACTATCCACCCAATTATCAACATTTCCCAAAACTTTGTATTACCTTTAAGGCGCCAGACTGAAGTTCTCAAAAAGATCCCCCTCCTCCATTCGTGATAGTAAAAAATAGAATTAAAAAAGGAAGAAACTGATGATTATTTACAAGGTATATGCTATTGTCACTTAGTTTGTGAAAACTTTAAAAAAAATCTAGTGACAGAAATGAGGGAAGACAACAAGACTGAATAAGAAGGTGAGACTAATAATGCTAATGAGAGTTTTTTAAAACCTGTATTAACTTATTTATCATTCTATTGGTGTGTAGAATGGAGGGGGTGAGGGAAGAGCTAAAATGGGATCTAAGAGGACTTAAATTCCATCATGATAGCATAAACAAACTTACCATGCCTATAGCATGCAGGCATGATAGATGTTTGGCGCCCTCTTGAGACGTAAGAACGATCAGCGGCAAAATTGAATTTCAACAAAAACAGCTGCGACAAACAACTCAAAAGGGCGACAAAATGGCAAATATGATGTCACAATCATCTTCAAAAGTGAACTCCAACGTTTCCAAGACAGAAACACGGGTACGTAAATATACTGGTACAATAAAATGGTTTAATTTGAATGTTTTCCCTCGCATTAGTATCTCCTTGTTTAGTGTGTGGTCCCACAAGCTGTGACGTGTGTATTGTTGCTCAAATGTTGCCGCGCCAGTTGTAGACCGAAAGCTTCAGTCTCTCTAATCGTCGGTTGTTCCACTGAGACTACGTCTGGCTCAACTAGACCTCTGATTATAGAGACTGAAGTCTGGGGACCTCTTTCTGTGAGGCACTGTACGGAACAAATGGTTCGGTTCGACCGGACCGCGATGAATGAGATATGCAACGAGATTTTCACTCTTTAGTTTACATCCTCATAACTGCTGCAATTAGACTAGACCTATAACACAAATTAAAAATAACATATAGAGTCTAGGCCTAGGGTCTATATAGCTTATTTGACTTACGATAGCTTGCTCATTTAGATCCTAAATTAATGATTAATCCGAGAAAGTCTCGTAGTCAACATTATCCGTCTTGGTGTTAGTTGATGAATATTCATTTTTTCTTTTCGAACGTCCAATAGCTACCGTAGCTACGTACGAGTTAGACCGAAAGCTTCAGTCTCTATACCGTCGGTTGTTCCACTGAGACTACGTCTGGCTCCACTAGACCTCCGGTTATAGAGACAGAACGATCGCCTATGCCAGCCTATGTTGAAGATATCACGGCTAGATTTTAGCCGCTAGGCCCCTCCCACAAACATGACAAACTTGCCACGGCCGTATTGTTATGCCCCCAAAATCCCCCAAAATGTCATTTTACCTCGTCCATATCCAATTTTAAATTAGGCCTAGGCTATAATACATCGGTTCCACTTACTAATTTGATGGAAATAATCCGTTTAATGGTCCCTTTTAAGGAAATTATGGGTCAAAATCGACATCCATGTTGAAAATCTTGCAAGCCGTGTTAAACTCTCGCTGCCGTCAATCTCATCCCTTCTAGTCTACGCCGAAGGCAAAATGATTATGAAGGAAAAAACTGTGATAACGCCATTACGAACGTGTAGATGGCACACAGTTTTGTTCCGAGTGCATGAACGTTCGGAGATACAAATTGGATAATTCATATAGATCTAAGTAAGTCCGTAAATTATCCATTTAATATTGAGTTATCAAATTTTGATAACTGTAATTAGGACAAATGACATACCGACCTAATTTACATCTGATTTAGAAATCAGGAAATTAGATCTAAATAAAGAAAATCGGGGAGAAAATGTCGTGGACGAAAATATGCACATATAGATCTAGGCCTATAGCCACCCCCATGGTACGAGTTGGGTTGCCATCTGTATTGGGGAATGACAACAAATTTCAGTTTTATTAAAGAAATGACCCAAATCAGATGGTTATTGCTGTCTACGCCAGTTGATGCTGTGAACGTGAATGTGTTCAATTAAAAATGAACATCGATTTCAAATCGAATTCAAGTTTCTTTCATAATAATTTAGGCATAATATACTGTTGGAACTGTCCCCACTGCGTGGAAATCGAACCCGCTTTGCCACAGCATGGGGACAGTATCACGAGAATAATATACTGTTGAAACACACTCGACCTCTATATGGTCGTGATATAGTCCCCACGCTATGGGAAATCAAGTTCATTTTTCACGGCAGTGGGGACTATACCACGACCATATACTAATAATAGGGAGCTCGAGTGTATGCCGCGCCAAGGTGTGTTTGTGTGTGTCATTTATTTGCGATCATCATAGGAATCGCGAGAGGAACTTGGGGAGTGTATTCTGGTAGGTGTGATTCTAGTTATCCCCATTTGGCGCAGTGGGGACTATATCACGATTAGTCTATGCCATAATTTATGGGACTTCTACCTTATCCTACGTATAAACTATCCACCTTTTCGCCTTGATTTTTCAAAACATCAACAAGTTTATCAATGACATTAGATCTAACTTAGACTCTAGACCCTATTTAATCATTCAATTTTTCATGGATCTCTCTTTTTCAAATTCAAGATGATAAACTCATAAAGATCTTGTTTTTCAAGAATTTTTTTGAGGGGGGGGGGGGGCGCTAGTTTAGAAGTGTATCCAGACTTTGACCCGTAACTCATTCGTGGAGATACAGTAAAATATACTAAAAATCGACTAAATCTTCATCAATTGTTCAAATAATGGTCATGATTTAAAACTAAAAGTTATGTTTCTTACCTGTTTAGTGTCAATTTTCTTATAATATCTGTTTTTGAGTATTTTTCCTCAAAACAAAGACTTATATTCACTTTCTCACGGGATTCACAGCAAACTGCTGCACAATACAATTGCATGTTGTACCGAATACCGACAGTGGGGTGCAGGCGCGCGTGTGTTATGTTAGCGACTGTATCTAAGCAATTCATCATTACGATCGTTATAGGGGGGGGGGGGTGAGGGGTATTGAATTACACTGCATGCACAATTGTAAAAATTGACCTGCTTATCATGCCGATAGACATAGGCTATTCATGCATCAGTTTGTTACTGACCTTTTGAAAAAGTGAAGAAAGGAAGGCAAAGAACAAGATTGTTGTGGAGTTAATTGTGACGTTTGACAGCCACATTTGTTTTCAAATTCATAATCTTGTTTTGTAATCATTTTCAGATGCATCAAGCTCCGACTATTGATGAATTCTCCATTGTAAAACCGATCAGCAGAGGGGCATTTGGGTAAGAACTCTTAACTCTTTTCTTTAACAAAAATGATGTGGTGATTGAGAGATGTGCTTGGCTGGCGTTCAATTAACTTCTTTTTTAGAGGTCAGGCCTCAGGGAACTTGAAAACACTTAAAAAGATAATAAACTGGCTTGAATTTTCAATAACAGATACTCTGCAATTAGTTTATATTTTGATGATGGAACTCGAAAGATACTTGAAAAGGTTGAAAAGAATTGGCGAAAAATAAATGGTTTGCTATTAAAGTCATGAAAATGATACACTTTTCCTATATAGACATGCTCTATAATTACAAACCCATTTTACAATTTCTCGACTTCCATAGAAAGGTGTACCTTGCGTATCGGAAAGGTAGGGAGAAGGAAAACCTCCATCACGGCCATGAAAAAAGCTGATATGATTCACAAGAACATGACGTTCTTACCACAAATTGCCAACAATTTCTTTATCCTTAACATTTTTCTTTCCTTTTTCTTTTAAATTTCTTGACCACCATAGAAAGGTGTACCTTGCGTATCGGAAAGGCAGGGAGAAGGAGAAGCTCTTTGCCATCAAGGCCATGAAGAAATCTGAGATGATTCACAAGAACATGGCTGCCCAGGTGACTACGGAGAGGGATGCTTTGGCCCTGTCCAAGAGTCCTTTTATTGTGCATCTCTACTACTCCATACAGACTACAAAATATATTTATTTGGTGAGTAGTGTGCTTTTTAAGTTCAAGTTCTTAGTAATGTTGTGATATAGCCAGGCAAAACAAAAAGAATTGCCCAGAGTCCCAAACATTACCAGTATATTTAATACAGACCATACAATATACAAGATATTTTATTTGGTCTTTGCAAACAAGTTCCATAGAAATTTGGTTTCCACTGGCATTACAGTAATTTTCAAGAAAATACATAATTACAAGACATAAGTACATCACGTTTATAGAAATAGATGAAATAAGGGACAAATACATGCAAAAGGTAATGAAGCGACAACAATCGTCATTGTACTTCAAATCATTAGTTTCAAAATTAAGCCTTGCTCATTGGTATTTCAAATCATAATAGTTTCAGTATTAATTAATTTCTGACGCAGAAGTTTAACGTTTAACCTGTGAGTTGAATGTATGATCAGAGTCGGGTACAAATGAATATCTGAATCGTGAAAGGCGGGTTGGGGTGGGGCAAAGTCGGATACCAGAACAATTAAATGAATAAAATAAATGAAGTGGATGGGTATTGTCTTTCATGATTGCACATACCTTATCAACAATTTGCTCAGTACAACTTATGAGATTAGACAGAAGCTAATTCTACCCCAATTACGCGCTGTGCTATTTTACGTGGCCTTTCCTATTTCTTCTTGTCCTGTTTTGAGAGATTGCCAAATGAATATACAGTTGTACTATTGAAAAGCAGGACATTCTTTATTAATCGTTGCATCTACATGGAGAATTTTCAACTTACGCAGAAAAAATAACCTCTTGTTAGCTCTCTTATACACGGAATGTGTGTTATCCCTCCATGATAATTTGTCATGTAAGACAGTGCCAAGATATTTATAGTTTCCAACCTGTTCAATCGCCTCATTATGAATGATCACATTCTCGTGGTCTGTACCTTTTTGACGGAAGTCGATTACCGTGTAATGGTGGGTCAATTAGTCTGGTTTGAAAGGGGGTTTGTTTAGAACCGGAATCATCAAAAGTCTAAATTTACCAATATCCCATTGAATTAGAAAATAGAAGTGCATGCTAATTCTATCAAACATGATTCTATGGGATTTCTGAGAAGTTAGAATGATGAAGGTACAAGTAATCAGAAATAGCACCCTCTAAGTTGGACTTAAATATTATGGAGAGCCATTTGTAGCCTTGAAATAAAATATATTCAAAAGCACAAATTCAAGTATTTTAGACTTTTTTAAAAATTCCACATCAAGAACATGAAATCTCCTTGATAATAGAAAATATGAATGAATTGAATCAACATTTTATGCCTTTTAAAATAACTTTTACAAAATATTTTCATAGATCCTAACAGCTCTCCATTATTTTTAAGTCCAACTTAGAGATAAGTTCAACTTAGAATCTTTGTGAAACACCCCCCTGATCTCAATGATACACAGGTGATGGAGTACCTGATTGGAGGTGATGTGAAGTCTCTGCTCCACGTTTGCGGCTATTTTGATGAGCGTACAGCTCTGATGTACACAGCTGAAGTGGTGCTGGCTCTCGAGTATCTTCATAAGCATGGCATCATTCACAGGTTCGTCATCATATTTCCTGTAAACTGACTTGAGTTTTCTCCTCTCATTTAGTTTCTCGCCATCCTAAAAAGCTTATATTTCAAAAGTACAGAAATAAATTGACTACCATTGTAACATTGATATGTGGAGAGTAATTTATTTTGATTTATTTGCTCACATACGTAAAAAGCTCATATTTTAGAAATACAAAATAAGTTGATGGGTGAAGAAGAGTGACAATAAAATAGTAAACATAAAGAAATTCTAAAATTGTTATTTTTCTATTCTTCAACTAAGTCAGGTACTCTAGTCATCTCTGTTTAAATGAAAATTAATTAATATTATAGTCCTAGTAAAAAAACACATCTCTTTGATATTTATATTTATTGAGTATATAATCTCCCAATCGAGAGCTTGTTCTAATTTGAAATAATTATTCTTTGGTAACTGGTTTATACAGATCCGTCACTACTCCATTTTGACTACTATCTCAATGCATAGACCAAAGGCCGGGCAAAATGGTCAATCTGTAATGTGGAAAGTGCTACTTTAATAAAAACATTTTTCTGCTTCTTCTATTTTGAAATAATTATCCTTTATTAGCTGTTTCATTCAGAAGCGTCACTAATTGTCCCTACTCCATTTTGGCTACTACATGTATCTCTATGGATAGACCAATAACCAGGCAAAATGCTCGTCTGTAAAAAGGAAAGTGACACTTTAAATGAATATCTTGCTTGTTCATATGTTCTTTTTTGAAATAATTATCCTTCAGTAACTATTTTATACGGAAGCATCACTAACTGTCAATACTCCATTTTGACTATTATATCCATGCAGAGACTTAAAGCCTGACAACATGCTGATCTCAAACGAAGGCCACATTAAACTCACTGACTTTGGTCTCTCTAAGATATCCATGGACCACAGTAAGTTACCTCAAATTACTTCTTCATATTATTATTTTATTTTTTATTTCTGCATGGTTCAACAGTTAACATAGTATGATCATGACCACCATGGTAGTAAACACTAGATTACGATCATTATATATTTGCAATTGTCAATAATAAAGAAGCATACAGAGGTATGACATACAATGTATGAGGTATTACATTCAATCATCTAGGGTGAATACAGTAGAAATGTCAGAGCTGTTGTGAAATTTAATTAATTCATTCATTAATTACCTAATTAAAATTGGGTAGCATTCATGGGATCGCATTGTGAACATAACTCTATAGAAGAAAAGTTAATTACGTGCTACATACAAGTATAAGTGAGTGTTGTATTACTCTTTTTTTTCTTTTTTCTTTTTCTTTTTTGTTGATACACATAATGACATCAATTGCATCTTGATAGAAATCACATACAGTAAATAGCTCTGCAAACTGGTATGGGTATGCAAGTATGAACTGCTGATATATAAGGCACCTTAATTTGTTCCAAAATTTTAAATCCTTTTCTGGATATGGCAAGTCCTGCTTGTGTTAAGTGACTCTCACACTCTGCCGTGTAGGCCTACCGTGTGCCACCGTGCGCGAAAATGTCTGCAGACGGTGGAGAACGGCGAGGGCACACGGTGGTTCATTATCAAAGCGGGCAACACGTTAATAGGGCGTTGGCGCTTATTTACAACCGGTGGGACCCGGCGAAAGTTTTGGGCATGTTCAAAACTTTGGCCGGCTGGCACCGGCCGCAAGTAAGCGGCAAGAGGACGGTGTTGAACGGTATGAATACGTTATGAAAACGGTCACACTGTATGAACACGTTCACAACACGCTCATAACCCGTTACAGAACGGTGATAAACGGGCAAAAAAATATGCAGTAAATATGTGATCAAAAGATGAGGAGAAGTGTCGTGGAGTTTCCTTGAAGAAAAATGGAGAGCGGACTGACCGTTGCCGTTCAAATCGGGGTATTTATGGCAGTCGTGTCATGACGTCAGCAGTCCGGGGACTCGCTCACAGGACGCTCCGAGCGGTGAGGGGACGCTAAGTGACTGGTAGGTGGCTGCTACAAACCCGGTGCACACGTTCGAGACCCGGTATGGGCCCGGTATGGAAACGGCCAAAATTTTCAACAAAAGTCAATCTGGGCGGTGAAGACGGTAGAAGCACGTTCAACACCCGGTATGCGCCCGGTGAGAACGGTCAGAAGATGGCAACGAAACGGTGAAAAGATTAATTTTATGATTTTTTTTTTTTGCGGCCGGGGACAAGTTCGCTCAAAACCCAACGTTCTGGACTCTGTTGTTTTTTAATAGCCCGGCAGGTGGACGGTAGGCCTACACGGCAGAGTGTGAGAGCTCCATTACCAATTGATGAAATGAAATGATTGATTTTTATTTCTTATGCAAAACATAATACAAAAATAATTATATCACAACAAATATGTAATGAAACGATAAATATAGTGGAAATAGCACGAGAAAAGAGGAACTAACTTGAAGCAGAGCTTGTTGAAGTGTTAGTTCCTCAGATGCAAATTTTACAATAAAACATGAACAAAGTATGCTTATAGATCAATAAATACGGTAGACAATATGTAGCTAGGAAGAAGGAAAAAAAAAGAAGAAAAAAATGAGGAAGAAAAAGAAAAGAAAAGAAAAAAAAATGAATAGAGGAAAATAAGGGTGGGAGAAAGCAAGACAAACCATCTGTTCACTAGTACTCAACCTTCACTCTGCATATTTTAGAAGACATTTTTTTTTCAATTTGAAAGAATAACTCATACTCATAGTGCTTGTCATATTCTCAAGACGACGGATAGTCAACCTGTTCGAAACGTCGAGCCACTCATCCTCTCCAAGCGCTATAGTTCTCCTTAGAACTATAAGCTAAGAAAGATAACAAACAGTCCTTTTCAGGACTACACACCCCCAAGAAAGATTACTGAGTCAGAGTCCTTTTCAGGACTCCTCAATCCTCTCTCTCTCTCTCTCTCTCTCAAATGGTGCACCCGCAAGCCTACTGTATAAATAAGTCTTCTCTCAAAATTCTTAAGAAAGCCCTTAAGATTTAGATTTCTTTGTGCAATAGAGTCATATTTTTCTGTATTATGTTTATCCAAGTTACTAATGTAAAGCGCAAAGAGATTGTATAAATTGTAATCAATTATGCACTATGCCACTATACAAATTAACATCGTTATTCTCATTACTATGAATATAAGAATTCCCATTTTTCTTTTGCCTGTCATTGAGAATTTTGTTCTCCTTTTTCTCAGAAATCAACGTATCCGATATCCTTGGTACGCCCTCTGTGGTGAAACCCCTACGGTCAGATTCGTTTTACCGAACACCAGGACAGGTTCTCTCATTGACCACCAACCTGACATTTGTAAGTTCACAAAGCTTTTTACACATGTCATGTGCACAAACCTTTTATGACAGAATTTTCTTCAAATTGGCAACACCCTTTCACGGTTTATTTATAGGCCGCCATTATAATTTGTGCGTAAACAATGCGTCGTCAATGTTTTCAGATGCGTATGTATCATTGCGTCAGTGCCTGCGCTATGCACTGACATCATTTTGACATGGGCGCCAATTTACTCTTGTAACAGTGAAAGGGTCTATTGTTTTTCAAATTGGCAACAATTATGTTTTCTCTTATTGCTACCTTGTCAGAATAATATGTAATGGGCAAGAATGTGTCAACAATTTGAATAAATGGCCAACTTAGATCGTAAAAAAAAAGAAGATTTTTAATGGCTCGACGTGTTGCCAATTCAAGGATTTTAAAGCATATTTTTTTTAATTCCGGGCATCAAACGCAACATAATCATGAAACAAAAAATGGATGCAGTGTGTGGAGAAATATATGCCCTTTCTACTCATGTATCTGGCATGTTTTTAGGGCTCCCGGTCAAAATTTATTGAGCCTAACTACAAATTGTGGAATGATTGTATCAAAGGGTTAAACCAGCTAACAGAAATTGTCATGGCAAAATGAAGTTACATAAGAAGCATGGAACACTTCATATTCTTCATCTTAACAAAAAAACAAATTTGTAAGTACACTAGGTAGCAGCTACACTTAAAATTTCACTCTAAAAGGTTATTCATGTACACTCAAAATTTGTAAAACTCTTTAGCTCTCAACTTGACACTATACATAATAATAATAATAACAACATTTATAATGCGCACATATCACCCCCAAGGGATGCTCAAGGCGCCTTAACAAATTTGGAAATTACTACCCCAGCACTATACATAGGGTGTAACATAGTCAGAATGCTATGTTTTTCTGTGATCATTTTGCAAACTAACAGCTTTTGCTTTTTTTCAATGTCTCATGTAAGGTTCTATTGAATATTTCCCTGTGGATGCTCATTTTTTGCTAGGACACACCTGGAGCAGTGCTAGAGGAAAAGTTCCGGCACCTGAGGCACACTCCGCTCTCCTCACCCCTCCTAACGTCGGTCAACAGACAAGGTCTGCCCCGCCCCAGTAGTCTTGGTGATCTGCTCTCCGACTTAAACCGTGACAAGCGCCCCCACGCATCCTCCCACGATGATGCCTCTCGTCACGGAAGGGACAGTATAAGCGTCGCTCTTGCTGATAGGATACTATCTGCAGCAAGTGAAGGTTCGCAAGCGAACAGTAGAGGACGTCCACAGGAAGACGCCGGATCAGGATGTCAAAGGTCAGCTCGATTTGGGAGGTCAGCAACGAGACAAGGAGGAAGAGAGAGGGATGTTGTGTTTGAGACACCGGTAGGGCGAGCACCGGTGAGCCGCCCCTCGATCCATCTCAGCTTCAGCGATGAAAGAAGACAATCAGGCCCTGAGGCTGCTCAGCAGACGTCAAACGAGGGGCAGTCAATGGCGTCATCACCGACTGAAGACGTGGCTCTGTTGGGATCGGGAAGCGAAGTTCGTGGTCGGAAGAGACATCTCTCGCAGGTTGAGATGAGCCCTATCTCGCTCCGTGCTTCCAAAGGTTGCGTCAGGATGCTGGGCTCCGGATCCCACAGCGGCCTGACCACAGAGATTCAGGGACTGAGCCTGAAACTATTTGTGGCTGATGGAGAGGGCGAGGAGGAGGAGGAATTAAACACTGGTAGCCATAGAAACAGACTAAGTGATGCAGACAGCCTCGATAGTAGTCTGAGCGTCGAGGACATGGAGTCAATCAGAGCCAAGAGTTTTGAAGGAGTGGACACTCAAGGATCAAAGGATGTTGGCATGGTTGATTCAGAAGGAAGAAGCATTAGAGACAGCTGCTACGGAAGCGGGTCACGATTGTCCGGCGGTGTCGCAGAGGGAGGAAGCTCCTCGTTTTGTCAGGACCACGGTGACAGCAGCCTTTCAGGTCTGGATCTGGATGCATCAAGGTCATCGGCAGCTGACCCTGCCGAGAAAGAAGCGGTCAAAGTTCGGAGGTCATCGGGAAAGAAGAATGTCAGCTTTGACCTTGACGTCAGTATGGATTGCAAGTCTGAAGCATTGGATGTGAAAATGCCAGGTGACATGTCCGAGTCTTTCCATGATGACGATGACCTGTCGCGGAAGGGTCAGTTGGAGCCAAGTCCGATGGGGGATGGGAGGAGCCAAAGTCTTGTATCCAACCAATCAGAGAGCAGTATGAAGTCATGTGATCTGCAGGAGAGGAGTGCTCTTTCTGAACTGACAAACTTTTCGCCTGATGAAACCGCGAGGATGAACATCAAACCTGTAAGCGTCATTGAAATAATCTTTTATTGCTAATTATGGATATTACATTTTATATTTATGGTTTTGCCTGACTCTGACGTCTGTAATTTCTATGTTGCAGGATCTTTGTATTACAGAATGCATAGGACTTCAAGATATTTTAGTCACTTTCCAGGATACATGTACATAGAAAAACCAACTGGCACTGTGACAGAAATAGATTCACTTTTGTCATCCATGTTGCTGTTTCGGCTCATCTGTTACCTCTGTGAGATATTAAACCGGGTGGTTAGCATATATATGTAGTCGTACAGCTTATTCCGCTTTTTTGGCTAATGGGTGTATTGTAGCAAAAAAGTTAAAGAGTTTTATAATTATTTCTATCACCAACTTTTCTGTTATATACAAAGTAAGTTTGAAGATATTATTATGAGGACTTATCGCATTTATCTAGTTTTGTACACAATCCTTACTTGAATCTTTTAGAGAAATGCCTCCACTCCGGGGCCCCAAGGAACAAGACACACCCCTCTCAGAATTGCTTTCCGTACCCCTGGACAACTCCCCTATGTCACCCCGGCTAGAATATGCTACAAGACACCTGGTAAGTTAGAACAGCTTCTAGAAAACGTGGTAGTGATGGTAGTCAAATGAGACACCCCCCTCTCAGAATTGCTCTAGGTACCCCTGGACAAAAAGCTATTAGCTAAACAACCAACAGAAGATTTAGAAAAGGATTTCAATTTTTTTTTATCAATAGTGGTATTCTTGGAAACCTTTGTATCTCACTCTTTCTTTTTTTCATTTAATTATTTTTCTCTCTTCATCTCCTTCCATCTTTCTCTCTCCTCTGTCTCTCTTTCCATCTTTCTCCATTTTGTTATTGTCATTTTATTATTTCTCTCTCACCATCTCTCTCTATCTTTCTCTTTTCTCTGTCTTTCTTTTTGTCTTTCCATCTTTCTCCCTTTTCTTTACCACCCCTTTCTCTCTTTCCCTCTCCCAGGTCGAGGTACCCTCATAACCCCCGGCCCCACACCCCTTCGGACTCCAAAGAGTTGCAAACGGCGCCCTCAGCAGGCTGCGTGTGGACAACCACAGGAGGAGAGGATTCTGGGAACGCCGGACTACTTAGCTCCTGAACTGCTATTGCAACAGCCTCACGGTAATATCTGCACATTAGGGGCCTGTTACATAAAACTTAACATTGATTGTAACTTTGGTATCAGTGGCAACTTTTGTGGAAACCTTAATTTTGATTGGCTGTTGAATGATGTTGCCATGGTATTTAATATTGACGGCACAGTGGCGATCGATAGTAAGTTCCATACATCAGGGCCCAGATTCTGTTCGTCAATAAGCTATCCATGATAATATTAGCTTTGCTTGTATACAGTTAACAATTAAATCATTAATGCCCTTTATACCAAGTTGTATCATTTTTTAAAAGCTTGTACTCAAGGAATTTCTTACTGCCATGTACCCATGCACCTCACCTGGGTGGAATGCAAATGTAGATTAATATCTTTGCCAAAAGACCTGTACTTGTTGCTGTTGGATTATTTTTCAAGGCAATTCAGTAAAAACTGACTATGCCTAAAAACCACCTGCCTTTAAAGGCATCATTTAACAATGTTAAATTTGAGATGTACGGCCCGGCCTACGTGGTATCAGTGTCTGTGATATGGTGTAATATTGAAGCCCTAAAAAAAATGCTTCTCCAATGGACTGTACTCTTATGAAAACCGTTAGGAAAATGCAAAATTTGATTTCGATTTCAAATCGGAGATATCTTGGGAATCAGACTGGCGATCGGTTGTAAAAGTCAAGGGGTTCCTGACTGACCTAAAGGTTTATAACTATGATTGCAGCATGAGCTAAATCCAGGATTTTGTTTCAGAATCTGAGATAAAGTTACCCGATCTTTATAAAAAATAAATCCTGTCCTGAAAGAATTAAAGGGAGTCACTCGTCAGTTTCCATGTGCAGAAGGCCATAATTTGCTGACAATGTTAAATTTGAGATGTACGGCCCGGCCTACGTGGTATCAGTGTCTGTGATATGGTGTAATATTGAAGCCCTAAAAAAAATGCTTCTCCAATGGACTGTACTCTTATGAAAACCGTTAGGAAAATGCAAAATTTGATTTCGATTTCAAATCGGAGATATCTTGGGAATCAGACTGGCGATCGGTTGTAAAAGTCAAGGGGTTCCTGACTGACCTAAAGGTTTATAACTATGATTGCAGCATGAGCTAAATCCAGGATTTTGTTTCAGAATCTGAGATAAAGTTACCCGATCTTTATAAAAAATAAATCCTGTCCTGAAAGAATTAAAGGGAGTCGTCAGTTTCCATGTGCAGAAGGCCATAATTTGCTGACACTAGACCTGGTGGATAATAACAATCATTAACGTGTGTACAGGTATTAGGCCTGCACACAGCGAACCCATTGGCCAATTGAGAGTCTTCGGGTGTCGGAAAAGTGAGATAATGACTTTACCATGTGGGGGGAATGGGTGGAAAACGCAGTACGTTACAAAAGGCCTGGTGGTCATAAAAATGAAGGCTAATTCTGGTGATTGACAGCACGTCTTATTGGGTAAACACCCGAACGGTGTTGAATTCCGCATGAGAGCTAACTACTGAGTGTCTTTAAACAATGACTGTTTTTGTGATGCAGGTATAGGAGTTGACTGGTGGGCGCTGGGGGTGTGTCTGTATGAGTTTCTGATCGGCATTCCTCCCTTCTGTGATAGCGAACCAGATCTCGTTTTCCAAAACATACTCAGTCGAGGTAAGTTCAAATTCCTTATTGATATCACTGAGCTCTTTGTTATAAGATGCACTAATTTAAAGTGTCATACATTTATGAAGAGGAGGATAGCTCTCGCTAAAACTGCATTTTCAAAGTTAGGCAAAATTCTGACAAATCGCACAATGGGTATGAGGACCAGAATAACAGTACTGAATTGTTACATCTACCCAGTACTTATGTATGGTAATGAAACATGGACTTAAGCCTCTCATACTAAAAAGCATTTGGAAAGTTGCGAAATGTGGTTTTTAAGAAGAATGATGAAAATCCCTTGGACTGATAGAGTTAGTTATAAGGAAGTTCTTAGAAGAGCTGGAGTGCATAGGAAAATGATCCGTGAGATGTTGATAAATGGACAGTTGCAGTTCATGGGTCACATTAAGGCGCGATAGCTGAGTCGGTGGAGCAGTGGTCTCGTTATCCAGTGACCCGGGCTCGAAATAAAGTCGATGCCGTAGTGCCCTTTGGTAAGGCACTAATCCTCATTACCAGGTCTTCTGGTTGCTTACTTCTTAGCTGTCAGGTAAAATAACCACCACTATCACTATCATTACATGTAAAGAAGGCCTAGTAGGGAATCTTGCTGTGACAGGGAAACTTGTGGGAAGGAGGAGTAGGATACTTAGGATGGACAGTCTGCAGAAATTGTTTGAGGAGAGAGGAGTGAAAGAACTGGGAGTGGTGCAAATAGAGAAGGCTAGGATCCGAGGGTTGTGGAACACGTACAACAACCCATTGATTGTAGGAAGGGGTTTGTATCATAATGTAATTTCACCCCATTATGATTTTTTTCTTCTTCATTGTAGACCTGTCCTGGCCCGAAGGTGATGAAGCTATATCAGTGATAGCCCAGGACCTTATCGAGAAGCTTCTTACGTTAGCCCCTGAAGACAGGCCTACAGCAACAGGTAAGAAGAGAACTTGTGGAGGTATGTGTCATGGTATAGTATAGATATATATTGACTGCTATGAGAGGCATCACTGTTTCTATAGGCTCAAGGGCACGTTACATCCTGCTATGACCCCTCGGCGAGCCCCTGAAGATAGGCCTATATCAATATGTATGAAGAGAATTTGTGGAGGTACGTGTCATGGTATAGATATATTGACTGCTATGAGAGGCATCGCTATTTCTATAGGCTCAAGGGGATGTTACATCCTGCTATGTTATTGAGAATCTTCTCACGTTAGCCCCTCAAGACAGACCTACAGCAATAGGTAAGAAGAGAATTTGTGGAGGTACGTGTCATGGTATAGTATATTGACTGCTATGAGAGGCATCACTGTTTCTATAGGCTAAAGGGGACGTTACATCCTGCTATGACCCCTCAAATTGCCAAATCTCTACTATACAATGTCTTCCTTTATTATACACATAAAAAATAACCACTGCAGTTTTGCAACGTCATATCATGAGTCTGAACGCGCCGTAGGGTTTGATTAGTTTCACAATTGCAAATCCTAACAGTATAATATGTAACTATATAATTCTGTTTATCTTATTTTTCTGCTTTCATACAAATCAACTCATTACGAGGGTTGGATTGCTCTTTAATGATATTATTGAACTGTTTTGTCTTTATCAGATGTAAAGCAACATGAGTTTCTTCATGACCTGGATTGGGATCATGTAAGGGAGATGGAGCCTCCGTTTGTACCCGCCCCTGACGACGAAACGGACACAACATACTTTGATGGTAAGAATACTAACCCTCAGGCTCATTCACATATGAAGAGTTAAACTGCTGCGTTTAAAGGCATCGATTAACAATGTTAAATCTGAGATGCTTGGCCCTACGTGTTATCAGTGTCTGTGATATGGTGTAATATTGAAGCCCTATAAAAATTGAGCGTCAAAATGATCATGAAGTGCCTCAAAAATGGAAAAATCTTTGAGTGACCGGCGTTACCATACTCATTTTCCCCCAATAGACTGTAGTGTTATGAAAACACTATTAGGACAAAATTAGATTCTGATTTCCAATCATAAATATCTTGATAATCAGATAGGCGATCAGCTTCAGTTGTAAAAGTCATGGGGTTCCTGCCTAACCTAAAGGTTTATAATTCTCATTGCAGCATGAGCTAAATCCAAAACTTTGTTTCACAATCTGAGACAAAATTACCCAATCCCAAGAAAGAATGTGTAAAATGAATTGCAACTGCACACAACAAAGGTCCTGTGCTCTTATTTGTGTTATATACAGAAATGTGGCACGTATAATGCTTCAATACGTCATGAAAAAAACACTGCAGTTTTGCGGCAGCATATCATGAGTCTGATAAGTTTGCTGATTGCAAATCCTCACAGTATTTTAATGCATGTACTATACAATACACCCTTTCACGGTTAAAGCCTCCATTTTAATTTGCGAGTAAACATTGGGTCGTCAATGTTTTCAGATGCCTATGTATTATTGCGTCACTGCCTGCGCTGTGCGCTCACATCATATTGACATGGGTGTAGTTTTAAATGGTGCAAATGTCAGCTGTGAAAGGGTGTATTCAGGCTCTTTTGCATGAAAATTTTATGGACACTTGCAATTTTCTTATAATGCCATTCAAAGGCTGACAGCCCTTTCTTCCTTCTCTTCATTTTTCTATTTTCAGCCCGGAATAAAGCTTGCAATTTGGACTTGTCATCAGGATCATTTGCATCTTGACTCTGCAGATGAAATGCTTCTAAAACAAAGCTATGAAAAGGAGGACATTGTACAGTAGAGGTTTGATCAGATATGATTTTAATTGATTTCATTTTGATTTGTGTGAGCAAGGGAAATTGATATTAAAGACACATACAAGTGGAGTCTCATGGGGAATTTGACACTGTTCAGATGTTTCCCCAATAAGCGAGTTCGTAAATCGCTCTGGACAGCATGACCCCAAAATATCCACAGATCTAGACAAGATGGATACTTCCCACTTGTGCATTTTCGAATAATCACTGCCAAAGTGATGGAGGTGCTTCATGAATACCTTTTGTTTGCCTCTTGAGAAGAATACTTCCACCTGTGTATCAGATAAATGTACTGTTGGTGCATAAATGAATACTGATTACATAACTTTCGTGAGCACGATCCGAGTATTCATCTCAATGCTTTTACAATTTGGGTACGAATAACCTTTATCTGCCCATGCGCAAATCCTAATTATGACCTCACTTATAACAGGGACTTGTTTCTCAAAGCCTTTTTTCAATGATAAATGACACAAATCATAGACAAATCTGCTGATAATGCTACGTTTACACTATGTTCCCGACGGCCACGGCAGCCCCGTTTGCCCGAAACGTAGTGCGCCCGCGTTCTACCACGGATGCCAGAACGTTCCCTCCCAGTCCGTCACGTTGTGATGGGGTCCCTCACGTTTCTCACGTTCTGATCAAGTTCTGACACGTTTTTCACGTTTCGTCAAGGCTTTGTACGGATGAAACGTGGACGCAGGGCAGCTGTGGAGCACGTGCCGGCGGTATAAAAAGAAGGTCTCTCAAGCAATAGCAATCATGGTATCATGAGACCTCGCGTTGTGTCAGACCGTAGTAGAACACAGTGCGCGGTAGCGTGCCAGGCGCTTAAACCGTCCCACTACGGACCACCCCCAAGTTTTGTTACGTTCACCCCGGTTTATTACGGCCTACTAGGTTTCTCATCCGCACCGTGACTGCTGTGGCAAATTTTTTGACAGTTTAAAAATCTGACACGGTATCCATGGCAATCACGGCCTGTCACGTTTGCCCATACGGTCCCCCGCGTTGTGTCACGTCAATCCCGTTTCGTCCACGGTGGCCTGAAACGTGGTTGCCGTGGCCGCCGGGAACATAGTGTAAACGTAGCATAACCAATCAGAAGCAAGCATTTCATTATAACAACAAAATGTCATTTGTCACTGATGACAAGTTTTGTGAATTGGGGCCCAGTTCTTCTGTACTACATGTAGGTCTTCAACCTTTCCCAATTCCTGTTATTCCTGTCTATTTCATGTTAAACTGGCTGGCCCAGAACTCTTACTTTATCTTTAAACCAGGTTTAATTTATGGAATAACTTTAAGGAATATCTTTTGAATACATGCTACACTGTCTTAGATAAGCCTTACATGCATAATCCCTTTCCTAGATTATTGTATAATTATGAAAACAATTATAATACATCTCAGTTTTACATAGAGACACAAAGGGTCACCCATTATTAATTTATGTTTGCAACGTTTGATTGAAATGCATATTGTTTACAACTCGTTTAACAAGTAGCTATTTGTTTATGTACATACAAATGTATCTGGTCGTATGGCAATAAATATAGATGTATGTAATCTTTGTTTCGTTAAATATTCATGTAAAGCATATGCGCGCTACTAATAGAAATTTTAATGTAAATTGTATATAATGATGCATAGTTTATATTGGGGAAACACTGCACAAAATGTAAAGTTTATATGTTATTATTGTAGTGGGTATTCTAAGAAATCGTCCTATATAGCTACATTGTATATTGTAGAGGTATCTGGAGGTGTTGTGGTCTAGTGAATAAGGTGCTTTATTATGAACCACAGGGTACGGGTTCAAATCCCTGCCACAGCACGAATATACTTTGGCAAGACACATATTTGCCACTCTCCACCTAGGTGTGTTACTTTGGTGCCCGGTAGGATGTGAACGTTGATGTGGCTGGATTGGCATGTGTGCTCTTGTAAAATGGGGCCTCACCATGATACTCCCCAGGGAGCAGAGCATGTGCGCTATCATGTGCGGATTAGCATTTGAATCCATTGACCGAGGTAATAGTGATTACAATGTTAAGCCCTTAGAAATGTTACTATTATTATTATCAATATTGTTAGTATTCTAAAAATTGTTATTATTATCAATATTATTATTATTATTATTGTAATGTTGTTCTTCATAAATTCAAGTGTCCTATTCCTTTCAGGTCAGTTAGATTTACATCTTATCACAGTGGAATGCTGTGGTTTCTGTATTTGTTTGGTTATGATATAATTTGATTCAATATTTCTCTAGGTTCCTGAAAAGCAGCCAAAGAAATTGACCCTTTATATTACTACGCAAAGAAATAAAAAAAGGAGAGCAGATTTAATTGTGTCAAGCATTTTCAAACTGTTCTAGCATTTTCCAACACACTCATACACTCATTTGTATAATGACAATAATGATATACCGGTATGTGGATTAAACTACAATGTAGTGCCTGCACAAAACATCGCCTCTATCTATTATTATTGAAAAGCTAATATTATGCTACTTTTTAGAAACCAAATTCATTTTTATCTGAAATAACTGATGAAAAAATTTATTTTCAGACCAGACTGACCGCTTGACCGCCCACTCGTTCATCAATATTCATTTAAATTGAATGTAATCTAATATATTTCAAGTTATTTCATATCAAGAATATATGACTGAAAATCTTTTTTAACACCCAGTACTTCTTGAATTGATTCTTCAAGTGTTGTTCATATCTGCCCAAATATTAAAGGAAACCAAAACCTTCATACTAAGTTACTTTTATAAATGTAATGCTTCCTGGGAGAAGTTTCAATTATTAAATATATTTGTGGCATTCCACCCAGTAAATAAGATCGATTGATCGATCTGTATCAATAAGGTCGATTGATCGACCTGTATTGAAAAAACACAAGTCAGAAAAAATCTTGGAACCAGCGGGATTTGAACCTGCCATCTACTGCTTGCCGGGCAGCGACTCTACCACCAGGCCATCACTGGTCCATGGCACAGTCACGATGAACTAGAAACTAGAAGCTTAGGTATTTGTTTCTAGTTCATCGTGACTGTGCCATGGACCAGTGATGGCCTGGTGGTAGAGTCGCTGCCCGGCAAGCAGTAGATGGCAGGTTCAAATCCCGCTGGTTCCAAGATTTTTTCTGACTTGTGTTTTTTCAATACAGGTCGATCAATCGACCTTATTGATACAGATCGATCAATCGATCTTATTTACTGGGTGGAATGCCACAAATATATTTAATAATTGAAACTTCTCCCAGGAAGCATTACATTTATAAAAGTTACTGTCCTATGGCGGGCTAATGAATATTAATGAGTCAGAATTAATCAGGAGAGCTTAGGTATTTGTTTCTAGTTCATCGTGACTGTGCCATGGACCAGTGATGGCCTGGTGGTAGAGTCGCTGCCCGGCAAGCAGTAGATGGCAGGTTCAAATCCCGCTGGTTCCAAGATTTTTTCTGACTTGTGTTTTTTCAATACAGGTCGATCAATCGACCTTATTGATACAGATCGATCAATCGATCTTATTTACTGGGTGGAATGCCACAAATATATTTAATAATTGAAACTTCTCCCAGGAAGCATTACATTTATAAAAGTTACTGTCCTATGGCGGGCTAATGAATATTAATGAGTCAGAATTAATCAGGAGAGCTTAGGTATTTGTTTCTAGTTCATCGTGACTGTGCCATGGACCAGTGATGGCCTGGTGGTAGAGTCGCTGCCCGGCAAGCAGTAGATGGCAGGTTCAAATCCCGCTGGTTCCAAGATTTTTTCTGACTTGTGTTTTTTCAATACAGGTCGATCAATCGACCTTATTGATACAGATCGATCAATCGATCTTATTTACTGGGTGGAATGCCACAAATATATTTAATAATTGAAACTTCTCCCAGGAAGCATTACATTTATAAAAGTTACTGTCCTATGGCGGGCTAATGAATATTAATGAGTCAGAATTAATCAGGAGAGCTTAGGTATTTGTTTCTAGTTCATCGTGACTGTGCCATGGACCAGTGATGGCCTGGTGGTAGAGTCGCTGCCCGGCAAGCAGTAGATGGCAGGTTCAAATCCCGCTGGTTCCAAGATTTTTTCTGACTTGTGTTTTTTCAATACAGGTCGATCAATCGACCTTATTGATACAGATCGATCAATCGATCTTATTTACTGGGTGGAATGCCACAAATATATTTAATAATTGAAACTTCTCCCAGGAAGCATTACATTTATAAAAGTTACTGTCCTATGGCGGGCTAATGAATATTAATGAGTCAGAATTAATCAGGAGAGCTTAGGTATTTGTTTCTAGTTCATCGTGACTGTGCCATGGACCAGTGATGGCCTGGTGGTAGAGTCGCTGCCCGGCAAGCAGTAGATGGCAGGTTCAAATCCCGCTGGTTCCAAGATTTTTTCTGACTTGTGTTTTTTCAATACAGGTCGATCAATCGACCTTATTGATACAGATCGATCAATCGATCTTATTTACTGGGTGGAATGCCACAAATATATTTAATAATTAAGTTACTTTTATTGTAAAGTTTAAGATATTTGAAAAATATCAGTGACAATTTGAACAAAATTGGGCAAGGAATAAGGAAGTAAGAGCTTTTTGAAATGACTAGTCACTAGAGGGCGGTATTCAATTTGATGACATCATCTGTGAACAACTCTCCATGCCTTTTGTACATCAAAATTTCATGTTTTTCCTTCTTTCCTGTGATTGAGATAATGTACTCCCCCGAAAGCAAGATATAGAATGCAAAATGATATTCTACTTCACATGTTATGAAGTCGGATCAAGAACACAAATAAATACGAAGAAAACAAACAAATTGTGAAATTTTATGTACAAAAGGCATGGAGAGTTGTTCACAGATGATGTCATCAAATTGAATATCGCCCTCTGGCTCTAGTGACTAGTCATTTCAAAAAGCTCTTACTTCCTTATTCCTTGCCCGATTTTGTTCAAATTTTCACTGATTTTATTCAAATCTTTTAAACTTTACAATAAAAGTAACTTAGTATGAAGGTTTTGGTTTCCTTTAAAGGTAAAGACCAGTATTGGAAACGCCCCAATTTCAAATAATGAAATGGAAGATCTTATTACTAATCATGTGAAAGATTATGTTTTGAGTAATACATGATGGTAACAATTTTGCCGGCCGAAACCGCCTACTAATTGATACATTTGGTAAATTAGTTTATCTATTGGATTGTGAGAGATAAAAACGCACATGTGCGTAGTCCCATATACATCTTTCTGTGTACAGTGCTTGTAACTTTATGAAGACTGAGCCAAATTTCTTATCATTTTGATGATTCCAGAACCTTGCAGTACATCTATGCTAGATGATCAACCTTTCTGATCGATTTCACAACGTTTCTTTCACAATGCAATCGCATGACCAGAACTGGTCTTTATCTTTAAAGTGTGGTATGTCTATGATTAAAGTAACAAGCAAATTTCTAGCATTTTACAAATTTATTAGTACTACCAGTCATGATTATCCATACTTATTAGATCCCATTTATTTGTAGTGAATTGTTCATATATATTATAATATGTGTATTGCATTTATCAGTATGATGTGGTGATCCTTTTTATCAGAAATATTGGGTTTGGATTATTGTTGTAATTGGGTTTTAGGGTTAGGTTTAGGGTTAAATAAGTTTTGAGCAGGGTTGAAGTTAGGAATTTTGGTCAGTATAGAAAATTGTTGATATGATGTGTAAGGTATATAATGTATATATATATATATATTTATATGAATAATTATCAAAACAATTGAGATAGAAATCATTGAGAGTCTTCATTATGACCGGTTTCAATTTCGAAAAAATTTAAATTTTGAA